TGAAACTATTTAAATGTGGCTACTGAAAAATAGATAATTTTTGGAGGCGCAATTGGATTTTTTTTTTTTTGTAAATATAATATTTTCAATTTAATTTGCATGTTTTAACTTTTTAAGCTGTTAAACGCGTGGTGTGGGAGTAATTAATAAAAATTACACTTTAGTCCCACACACACCTATGGTTTCAATTGAATCCTCAAATTGAAAAGTAAGCACTGTTTTTTCTGATTTTTTTTTTAATATTGCTATATCTAGTACACATCTCTATTAAGAAATAGCATTAAAAAAAAAAAAGAACTGCTCTCAATTAATGATAAAACATGTTCCATTATTTATTTAAAAAAAGATGAAATATGCTCATATGAAGTATATGTGCTCAAAATATAATAAACATGCGATCTCAATGCTTGCATTTCAACTGTTCTAGAGATGCTTTCAGATATAGTATTTATTGATACTGCCATATTTTCATGCCATAGTCCTGTTCTTGGAACATAGCTTTAGATCTTGCCAGATGAGCTAAAAATGCTATAGAAATGTGCTCCAACTGCCATAATTATTGAAACTGCCACAAAAATATTCACTATCAGTTGATTTTCATCATTCTTCATGTCCTCGTCCTTGTTAGCAGAAGCTCTTGCATTCTCTGCATCCTTGGAAATATCCTTGTTAGACTTCTCTTTATCATCACCAGCAGCTGTCGCATTCTCCTCCTCCTCGTCCTTCTTCAGGACAACACTCTCAGCTGTCTTTGGCTCCTCACTTTTCTCATCCTTTTCCTCTTCCTCTTCCTTTACCAATGGCTTTTCAACAACTTTCTCAGCTATCTTTGGTTCCTCACCTTTCTCCTCTTCTTTCCAAGGCTTTTCAGCAACTTTCTCTTCCTTTTCCTCTTCAACACGCTTCCCGTTTGCTTCATTCTTTTCTTTCTTTTCGGTGACAATTTGATGAGCTTTTTCACCATCTAACCCTGTACTCTTCTCCTCTATTTGTTTTGTGGTATTAACCAATAAATCAGCTTTTCGAGGAGCTTCATCTTGACCCTTTTGGGATACCTCTTCTCTGGCTGCCTTTTGGGGGCTTAGAGCTTTAACATCTTTCCCTTCTGTTTCTTTGGAAAAGGTGGTTGAGGTTCTCCCTGAAGGAGTCTCTTCTCCATTCTTCTCAGGCTTTGGTTTTCCTGTGGAGTCTTGAAGCCCAGGATCCTCCTGGCTAGCTGTGGCCTCTAATTCTCCAGTATCAGTACTTTTTACAGCAGGAATGTTTTTCGGAATCCTGATGATTAGGATCCCACCAGCAAAATCCAATTTCGTTTGGCTCAGGTCACAATTTTTGGGAACGGTGTGAGCTGTATTAAAGCGACTGCGCATGTTATTTGCGAGTACACGCTCTCCATAAACTCTGATAGTACTTTGCAGTTCGTCTGCTGTAACAATTACTTGCTCTTTCAAGAATCCTGCATAATTAACCACACTTTTTCAAGAAAATGCAAGGTTTAACCATGAAGATTTAAAGCTGAATTTTAGGCAATTAGATAATCAGAAAGTTACCAGGAAGATATACAAGTAAAACTAGAGCTGCATCTTCTTCCTTCCATTCTGTATTTGGCTGAAAATTGGTTGTAAGACTTTGAGAGGTGCTGCGCAAAGGTAGTCTGCGGGGAGGATTATATGCTCTGGGCCGAAAACCAGTGTATCCACCTCTTGGATTCATCATGATTTTTATCCCTCTATCTCTTTTGGTATTTTTAATAACAAGAAGTGGAATTTTTCGCTCTTAATTAATCTGTTGGCTACAATTTTCTGGCTTGTATTTATATTACAAATTTTCGGATTGTAAGTTGGTTTTGAGTTTTCTTGACAGTATGAACATTTGGTTGCTTTGCTTTTGTAAATTGGTTCGATGATCCCTTGGCCATTATAAGGCACAACTTCCTTCACAAATAAAGGAAGGTTTCTTTCTTTGGCATGTAGTCTATCCAATCCATGGCATAACAATTACAACGGATGATGATTTAAGAACCATCAGCATTGTACTCCAAAAAATATTCCACTGCTGTACAATGAGAACTGAAGTAAAAGCCAAAATTTTGTGCCTTGGATATCGAATTTATTATCCAGCAAGAAATGCGATTCTGTGGCATTGGTCTTCAGTAGGGCAATAGAACTCAACTGACTTTGCGATGAAGTCTTTTGAGTGAATAACCTGCTCTAGTATTAATATATTCATGTTTCCTAATCACCTTCCAGTCCAACCAATATTGATGAGGTGACATGAGACCTTGGATGGGTTGAGGTTCAGACCGAGTTTAACAAATAACGGTCTGATGATACCACATGACACTTAGGCTTTGTTGGATCTGTCTTATCCCATTGATGGGTGCAGATCCTTAATATATAGTGAAAACAAAGGAATTCTGATCTGTAGGTTACGTTTAAAAGGATGTCTCCATGGTATTGTCTTATGTTAAAAAGGGTTTTTCTAGGTCAATTAGCGTGCTAAACATTGACTGAGAAGTTAAAAGCGATTATCCTGAGGCCAGGGAAGCGATCCAGGTCTCTATTTTTTAGAAATTTGAAAGCCATTTATGACCTCCTTCTCAACATTGCTTGGAGGGAGTGGAGCCCTTTCAGTAGTTGGGGTTTCTTCTTCAGGACCAGGTTGTCTGGTGGTTGCTTTTGGAACTTTAATGATGAAAGAAAAATCCAGCCTGAAACCTAGTCTTCATTTTATTCACCTTAAAATTTTCCGGAGCAGAAAAATCTTGATTGAAAACTACTATTATAAGCAAGTGGTCACTCTGCAAGAACTTGAAAGGCATGGAAGGAAGGCGAAGAAAGCACTAGTCCCTGCTTTTCTTATTAAGATATACGTAGTATGTCGTAATGACTTCTCTTACACCTTGAGAGAATGCAACATAAACCATTCCTTGCTTTCCAAATTGTCTGTTTATAGTATCAATTTCCAGGACATTATATGTTTAAAGCTTTGAGAAGTTAAAAATCATGATCCTGATGCCAATTGATGCATGTGGTCTAGGAGTCTAGCTCATTGTTTATTCATAGATAAGAAATTTGTAGCCATAGTTTGTCTCATCTATGTTAAGAAATGGAAGAATAAAGTATTGTAATTATTTTTTCTTTTTCCTTAAATTGATTAAACTAGAGATGAAACCTGCTTCGAATACAGTGTAAATAGCTGCTTCATTGATGCCACCAAGCTAGTCATGGGGCATGCTCATGCACAAGAAGTACATGTGGTGTACATGTAGAAGTTAGATGTATCAACCCAACTTTTGCTAGTCTTGATCATCTCTGTATTCATTCTGCCTTCTTTCCAGATTGGCCATAGATGGTATAGAATACATAAGCTCCAATTGCCAGGATCAAAGAGAGTATGGTGAATTTTTCTACTATATATAGCCTTTCAGTCACCACCCTCGTTACATTGTGATTCACAGACGTTCCAGAAGAAGAACTTGCATTCTCCATATCCTTTACCTCCCCTTCCTTCTCTTGAACAACACTTTCACCACTCTTCTCCTCTTCCTTTTGATCACCAACCTGTCCTATAGTGCTTTGTTCATCTACTTGCAGCTTTCTGGTAAATTCTAATGGGAAATTAGCTTTTGAAGGAATTTGATCTTGACCCTTTTGAGACATCCATTCGCTCATGCTTTTTCCACCTTCAACATCTTTGGTTTCTGTAGTTTCTTTATCCACAGTTTGTTGTCTTGCAGTACCATCTCCACTCATTTCAGGCCCTAACCTGCTTGTATTACTTTCTTGCAGGCTTGGATCCTCTTGTCTTGATGGGGCCTCTAATGCACCGGTACTAGCTTGAGCAGGAGTTACTTTTGGAACTCTGATGGTTAGAGTTCCATCATCAAATTTGGTTTTTGCTTCATAGAGGTTAAATTTTTCAGGAATATCCTCGAAAAGTGTATCGAAGTGCCAGTTTTTAAGTGCAGGATTACTGCAGACTCTGATATAATGTGATGGTGCTACTATCCTACAATCTATATGCTTCTCAGCAAAACCTGCAGAGTGCATAATTTACCAACAAATAAGGTTACAAAATATGCATGACATGATCAAAACTAGTTTAAGAAAAATATTTTTAACGTACCATGTAGATGAACAAGCAACGTAAGAGCTTCATCTTCCTCTATCCGTTCCGTTTTCGGTAAAAAAAGCGATCGCGTTTGGGTAGGATTACCTTTTTCCATAACAGTTTATCAACTAATTCATCTACTCATAGACCTTTTTGATTTTGATATCCCTCGATGTGCCTATGTTTTAGGGTTTTTTCTTTTTTTAATGAATACGCTGACAGTTGATATTTATGGGAGGATTGCAAGGTAGTTTGGTTTTGAGTTCTCTTGACAGGGAGTCTATTCTTTCTTTGTTGCTTAGGTTTCCTTAAAATGAGGTTTTAGCTTTTGTCCCTCTATTTCCTGTGTACAAATTAAGGACAGGGATTCTCTACTTGTCCTGTAGGTCTTTTCCAAGCCTTCCGTACAGTTTTTTGAACATCAGGCCTTTCATAAGTGTTAAATTGAAAGAAATACCCCCCCAACTATACACAATCCTTAATTAAGCCTCCAAAGTTTAAAGTTAATAATTTTTACCCTTAAATTGTCGAGCATTACCCATTATCACCATCATATTTTGGTGCAAAAATCAGAGGGTAATAGAACGTGGCAAGTGGCAACAAATAAACTCATCTGTGTTTAACTGATTTTGGAAGAATCACTTGTCATGAAAAATGAAAAAACAAGAACAAAAACCATTATTTCAATTGGAGTTTGTGTGAAATAAGTGATTTATTTTTTTAATTATATTTTTCCTTCAAAGGCTGCATATAGTCGAACCGAAGTTATTAAATTATGTTGGATCCATGACCTACTCTAAGTCCTAGATATTACAGTTGAATGAGTTTCAAATGCTTTTGATTTGTAATTAGAGGATTTGAAAGAGCAAATAAATAGTTATTGGAGGTGAGGAATTTAATCATACAAGTATTCGAGGACTAGATTTTATTGTAGTAGTTTACACAATGGGTTTAAGTAGTTGACAAATGCAATTTAATGCATGATATTGCAAGAATTAGTCTTTGGAAGTTCCAGATGATCGATAGCTGTAAATCATGTAAGCTCCAAGTGCTACAAGCACGAGGACTGCCACACCCATATTCACCATTGATTGCCCCTCTTCACTTAGCTCCATGGTGCTAAGTCCTTTCATGGTCTTCTTTGCAGCAGTTGCAGCTACATTCTTCACTTCCTTGACTTTGCCAGCAACATTGAAATCCTGCTTTGTCTTTTCTTCAGTACCAGCACTAGCAAATCTAACACTATTTTCTTTGTCTAATTTGTCCAAAGCTCTAAGAGAAGCGGTTTCACCAGCGAACATTGATTCTTTTCTTTTCTTGCTACTTTCATCACCTTCTGTTGCCAGAGATTCTTTTCTTTTCTTGATGCTTTCCTCTTGTTCAAACAAAGTCTTCTCCTTTACTGATTCTGTTGGCAGCTTCTTGCTTACTTCACCTGTGCTTTCTTTCTTTACAACCATGGGCTTTTGGTCAACTGTTTTAGCACTGGAGACCTGATCAGTCTTTTCATCTGTCTGCTTCATTGTATCAGTAGTCGAAACAACTTTGGGTGGGGCTTCAGCTGGACCCTTTTGAGACTTTTGATCTTTCAAGGCTTCTTGAGGGCTTAGAGCTCCCACCTTCTGGCCATCTGTTTGTTTTGGGCTAGAAAAGCCTGCAGCACCCTCCATACCCTTCTGTGCCTTTGTCTCCATTTTAGGTTTCTGAGAGACTTGAGAAGTAGTAGTCTTCTCTGGTAGGGCATCTTTTGAAGGCAGCACAGCCTCTTTGGTTCCCCTTGCTTCTTCTTTGGGGTGAGATTTTTTTATGGTAGCTTTAGCTTTAGGCATTGTAATGGAAAGAATTCCATTATGAAACTTGCCTTGAATTTTATTCACCTCACAGTTTTGTGGAACAGGAAAAGTTTGATTGAATCGACTCCATTTATTATAAGAAAGTGGTCGTTCTCCGGTAACTCGAACAATTCGGGAGGAATGAACATAAGTGATCTTCAGCTGCTCCTTTAGAAAGTCTGCAAAATCAGGAAAAATATTATAAGAAAACTTATGTCTCTTTAACACCATCCTCAAAACTTCCACTCATCCTACTTCTGAACCATTTAAGACATTGCGAAGTTAAACCACGAACAATCGTTTGGCACAAGTTATAAAGCCTAAAAATAGATGGTAAAGCTCACCAGGAAGATGAATGCACAGAACATTTTCCCCCTCTTCTTCCTTCCATTCAGACTTGGGTTGAAAATTCTCATACTGGATAGCATCATATCCTCCAATGCGTGTCCTCATGGCCATTTCTATTCCTCTCTTCTCTTTGGTTTTCGTAATTTAGTAGAATGTGTTTGGTGAAGTCATGGTTAAGCCTGTGTTTTTATATAGGCCTGACACAATGGAGGATCGCTAAAGGTTGTCCTTTTAGACTTTCTTAATCAGGAAACTATTCTTTCTTGATTGATTTAGTTTCTGAAAGTTTCATGAGATTTCAAGCATCCCATGATCATGTATGAGGTATAACCTGCTTAAGAAATAAAGCTGAAGTTCTTTGTTTGCCCTGTACTCATTAGGTTATCCATCCTCATTTCTCAACTCATCTGAAACAAAATTTCTTAATCATAAAATACACAAAACATGTTTTACATGCAGGAGAAATACTTCAGATGGAATTAATAAAAAATATCGTAGCAAATTTGGAATTGCTTTGGCATGAAGCATATGTATCCTGTCAAAGTCTTTTAATTTCAGAAAAGTTACCTGAATTCCTTGAGCTCAGAGACATCTCTGCTCAAAGGCTTTCTTCGACAAGGAATTCTGTTTCGGCCGCACCTTTTGACCCTTGATGAGAAAAGGATACCTGGCATTTGATTTCTCTGTAGGTTACGGCGCATGAGCTTGACAGAGAGCAAATGATTCTTCCATAACCATTTACCAGCATCCAGAGAGACATCTCTGACAACCCAAGAGACGGGTTCAGGAAAGAAATGAAAGGGGGAGGCAAAGAAATGCGTGCAGGAAACAAAAGCTAGAACTTAATTGTCTGAAAAAAGAATAACTTCATGGCCTAGGAATATTGATGCTTACTTTTACAGATTTTTCTTCTAAAGAATCTTCCTGAAAGGGTTGAATCATGAAAAAAGAACTAGCAGATAAAGAAGAATGGCTCTGCTGAATATTCTGACAGAAACAAATAGAGACTTAGACAATAAGTCAGCACCATAAACAAAATGGGCTTCAACTAAAGGAGTGTTAGTAGAAGAATTGGCACCTGAAGAAGAGAAAGTGCTCACTGGGCTGTATCCAGCTGCCTTTATCTGCATGAGCTTCCAGTAGGGAATCCTTCCTGTGAGAAGAATTCCATAACCTTACCTCCAAGGATAGCTAATGTTCGAGCACAGTTAGCTGACCCGACCTTGGTGTGTGGGTTTGCTGGGACCCAAAACGAGGTTGTTTTGGCTAATTTTTTTAAGAGAAAAACTAAAATGATGATGTTGAAAAAAAAAAAATTTAAAAAAAATCTCTAGAGTTAGACCCGACTGGATCTCACCTGCCAAATTTGACCATGTTCCAAATTAGATTGACATGAAACCTTGCCCTCTCAAGCTAGGCTAGGTTTAATAATTATGAGTTCATGCACTCAATAATTCTCTGTAACTCGCATATGCTTCAGAGTCTGTCTGAGAAGTAGCCTGAAACAGCATAGAACATAGAATCGAATGCATTAACACCACTCCATAAATCAAATCTAACTGGCAGAAAATAATTAACATGTCCTTTGAGAAACAAAGTTTCTTATAAATTAAATTTAAGGGGAAAGGAACATGTTTGTCCCCCAACTATAACATGATTCTCAAACGGATCCCCAAAATAATAAATTCTCACATGGATTTCCATTATCCAACTAACCCCACATCTTAAATTTATGATAGAAACGGTATTGTCCTCTTTATGATTTCAAAAGAAGAAATTTTAACGCAGCCAGGAACAAAGGATAATTCGACTTGTTATAAATCATAGTCTTTAAAAATTGAGAATACAATAACTATAAAAAGTATAATTTTTAAACCCGGCTTGGTCTGAAACTCAAATTTCAGGTATTGATTGAGTTATTGCGTCAGCCGAGTTAATTTCTGTTTTAAAAAAATTAAAATGATATTATTTTAGTAAAAAAACAAGATAAAAACAAAAACTAACAGATTATAACAGAGTTTTGAACAGGTTTTACCGGACTGGCTGGGTCACACCAAATCATGACTTTTTTTATTTTTTTCAAATTAACCCAGTTCCAGCCCCGAGTCGACCAGCCATGGGACTTTTTGTATTTTAAAAAGACATCTAAAATATTCTATTTTCATATATCCAAGTCTCATTTTATGATCTTTTATATAGAAAATACTAAAATATTATCCTAGTATTACTAAATAGAAAAAATAAAATAAGAAACCATTCCCTTCTAATAAAAAAAACTAGGAAAGCATAATAATTTAGAGTATAAAAAGAAGAATAGGAAAAAAAATGAAATTCCTAAAAAGAAGAAAAAGATAACCAAGGAAAATATTTATTTTTTCAGAAAATCATCACATTTTTAATATGATGGTGAATTTTTAGCGTCCAATAGATGATGGACTTAATTGGGAATTATTTTTGTTTGAGGATCCAATTGATAATTGGAAGATAGCTAGTACACATATCTGTCCTGCCCCAAATTACTATCCCTTCCATGTTAAATTGTTTATGCTGAGCTGACACTTTGAAAGCTGTGGCCAATCAAAAATTAAAATAGGTTGGATTTGCAAGATTTTTTTCCCTATCTTATGAAATTTTTAATTCATAAAGATAAATAATATAATGAAGACTCGAAAATAAAAAAAAAATCACTACCGATATGTAAAATTAGCACAATTACACCCTTAATAAAAATATAGATCCCAGGACTCGATAATGAAAAAAATTAGTATTTCTAAAAAAATCTTGCAATTCTCACTCCCATTTAATGATCTCTTTTATCTCCTCTCTACTCATTGTTGATGTAAAAACCATTTCATAATTTATTTGAAATATTATATTTTTTCAATTATGACATGTATAAATTATTTTATTTCATTAATTTATTTTTAATATGTGCTATTTTACTATTTTTTAATTAAAAAACTCTGTTAGTTTGCTATTTTTTTAATTACAAAATTCAACTTTTATCGGTAAATTTTCAAATTAAAAAGGAATCGCATCCACAAAACTTCGGATTTTTATCATTAAAAATACATGGATTTCCTGATTTCTTGCTAAAAAAACCTTCAATTACCAACCCTCCTTACAATAGTAAATAATATCGGGCTGTCAGTGACTTAATGATTGTGTTCCGGTCTTGAGTTCCTATCATATTTAGGATAAACGCTTGTCTAAATCTAGTAAATATATTGCCTTATATATATGCATCCTTTCTCTTCTTCCAAATCAAAATCCTCATAACCTATTCAACTATTTTTTATTTCCCTTTGCATGCGCCTTGTAAGTTTCTCTCTCTCTCTTCCTCTCCTTTCTGTCTTTGAAAGAGAAACAATTTATTTTTTCTTCACTCATTTTGTATCTCTTTTTTACTCTAAGATAGCAGTGGTTTTTTTTTTTTCCTGTTTTTTTCGCCTGGTCTGTAATGTTTGTTTTGTCTTTTTAAGGATGTTACAAAATTTGGTCAAAATCTTTGGACAATGTTTGAGAAAAATAGGATAGTTTCGGCTGGTTTCATGGTCCAAAAAAGATTCCATCGGATCAAGAAAAATGATTGACTTTGCCTTTTTGAGAAAGACATGGAAAAATGAAATTCTTATGAACATGTTCTCCGAATCTCGCTTAAATTTTAGAATTTGAATTGATTATTTGACTATGGTTCATCTAATTCACAGGTACAGTGGTGGAACTTGGAATTATAGTTAAAAAGCTAGTATGGCCAAGGCATGGATCACCCTAGTGGGGCTATTATTTATATGTTGCTGGTCATCTACAATGGGAGCTGAAGAACATGTTCTATACAAAGATCCAACGAAGCCAGTTGATAAAAGGGTTAAGGATTTGCTAAAAAGAATGACACTTGATGAGAAGATTGGACAAATGGTCCAGCTTGAAAGAACTAACATGACTGCTGAAATCATGAGAAAATACTACATTGGTATGACTGCAGAAACCCTAAAAATGCATGCACATTGCTCATGTTTTTCTGCATTTAAAAGATTCTCGAGGCCTAATTAAAGTGCGAAGAACTAAATAATTGGTGTGATTAATTATAGGGAGCTTGTTGAGTGGAGGAGGGAGTGTGCCAGCTGATAGGGCTTCTCCAAAACAATGGGTTGATATGGTGAATACGTTCCAAAAAGGTTCTCTATCAACCCGTCTTGGCATCCCAATGATCTATGGAATTGATGCAGTCCATGGCCACAACAATGTTTACAAAGCAACCATTTTCCCTCATAATGTTGGCCTTGGAGTTACCAGGCAAGTTCACATAGATTTGTCATAGGATCTGCGGCAGCTTTGATACCATGTTAGAGATAGCGTGTTTTGTGTTTTGTGTTTTTTTCTTTTTGTATATATCTTCTGGTGTATTCATGAGAAGTTTCTTTAGTTTTCACATTGTTTCGCCTTGGATTTGAACCTGAGCTGATACCTTATTGGATGTTTCAGGGATCCTGCCCTTGTGAAGAAGATTGGTGCTGCAACCGCGCTTGAAGTTCGAGCAACTGGAATTCCGTATGCTTTTGCTCCATGCATTGCGGTAAACTAATTAAGCGATTAATCTCGATCCCAGAATTGCTACGACTCAAATTTTCCTTTGATCTTATCGTGCCACATATCTATCATTGCATTATGCAGGTCTGCAGAGATCCAAGATGGGGCAGGTGTTATGAAAGCTATAGTGAAGACCACAAGATTGTCCAAATGATGACTGAGATCATCCCTGGTTTACAAGGAGATGTCCCTGCTAATTTTCAAAGAGGCACCCCTTTTGTTTCTGGCAAGTAAGAACTGATATGGCAGGCCTAATGCGTTGTTTTCTTGATCAAGCATACACAGATTCTTCAGCTCTATCTCCTAATGACGTCTATATTTTGCCCTTTTCTGACACCATGTAGAGACAAGGTTGCAGCTTGTGCCAAGCACTTTGTTGGGGATGGTGGCACTGTCAAGGGCATTAATGAAAACAATACCATAGTTACCCATAACGAACTCTACAACATCCACATGCCTGCCTATTTGAATTCACTTGATAAGGGTGTTGCAACAGTCATGGTATCCTATTCGAGCATCAACGGCTTAAAGATGCATGCTAACCGTGGATTGGTTACCCGTTTTCTCAAGAGGAAACTCAAGTTCAGGGTAAGACACGGATTCTGGAAGATCAAGTTATTGAGTTGATGCACATGAAACATTGTATCATGTATTGTTGCTTGTAAATTTCAGGGTTTTGTCATCTCAGATTGGGAAGGAATCGACAGGATCACCTATCCACCTCATAAGAACTACAGTTACTCTATTCTAAAGTCGGTTAACGCTGGCGTCGACATGGTGTGTTACTAACCATTGTTCTCAGAGATTACATGCTTGGTTATTGATGTTAATTTCACCAAGGAGCAGATATCTGACATAGGTTTTGTATGATTCAGGTTATGGTTCCTTACAACTACATAGAGTTTATTAATGGTTTGACCGATTTGGTTAACAAGAAGGCCATTCGCATTCAACGCATAGATGATGCAGTTAAGAGAATCTTGAGGGTCAAGTTCGCAATGGGTCTCTTTGAAAATCCACTTGCCGATTACAGTTTCGTTGACAAGCTTGGAAGCAAGGTGAGTGTGAATTCTGCCAGGCGGATGAGGCCTGTGTTTTTCACTGACCACTCCCCTGAAAATGATTCTGAATGACCAGATTGGGTTAATGATATTTGCTTTCTTTCTTCAGGAGCATAGAGAACTAGCCAGGGAAGCTGTGAGGAAATCCCTTGTGCTGTTGAAAAATGGAAAATTTGCTAAAAGCCCTGTGGTGCCTCTTCCTAAGAAAGCAAGCAAGATCCTTGTTGCTGGAACTCATGCTGACAATCTTGGCTATCAATGTGGTGGCTGGACAATAAAATGGCAGGGACAAGAGGGAAATAACCTGACTGCTGGTATATAATAATCTCAACTCACTTCCTGTTTAGCATCATATTGAAATATTGTGAATACAAAAGGCAGATGCATGATAGAATTTGTAACCCTTGAGCAGGCACCACCATCCTTAAAGGCATCCAAGCTGCCGTTGATCCAAGCACTAAAATAGTCTTCAAAGAGAATCCTAAAGCTAAATACGTGAAGTCCCAGGGCTTCTCCCATGCCATTGTTGTTGTGGGCGAGCCTCCATATGCAGAGACAGCAGGCGACAATCTGAACCTGACGCTCCCAAATCCTGGTCCGGAGATAATAAACAACGTCTGCGGAGCTGTCAAATGTGTTGTAGTCATCGTCTCCGGTAGACCACTAGTGATTGAATCATATGTTCCAAAGATTGACGCTCTTGTGGCAGCATGGCTTCCAGGAAGTGAAGGCCAAGGTGTTGCCGATGTTCTATTCGGCGACTATGGATTCACTGGCAAGTTGGCTAGAACTTGGTTCAAGAGGGTCGATCAGCTTCCAATGAATGTTGGTGACAAGCACTACGATCCACTCTTCCCATTTGGTTTTGGCCTTGAGACTAAGCCTTCAAACTAGATTCTTTCCTCAATCTTCTCCATACAAGCTTTCGTGAGACCAGGATTCCTTGCAAAGTAAATCATTGCAGTTGATCCCATTGGCATCTGTCTCTGAAGACATTATTTTTTTTTTAAAAAAGAAGAAATTTGGTTTACACTTGTATGGTCAGATCATGACTCTCCATAATGATCAATACTGGATTATGGATTAGAATAACCGTACTTTTTTTTTTATTTACCAGTAAAATTGTGGAACCATTTAATTTCTAGCTGCATAAGTTTTATTTAACGATACCAATGTTTTATATCGTCTATGAGTTCGAATGTGCACCAACATCTCTTAAAGAGTCCAGTTACATTACGGATTTGTGTATCATTTTGAATGCTTTGGACCATTTCTTAATTTCTTTGACTCCCCTTTTCATACTATAATTTTTGTTTCTAATTGAAAATATTTTTTTTATTAATCCATGTCTAAAATTAGGGATGACAATTAAAATTCAGGGGATGGATTTGTTTATATTTTTACTTCATCTATTATTTATTAGATAATTTTTTTAAATATTTATATTTTATTTATCAAGTTGAGTTTTGAGTACCGTATAAATATTTATTGTTCAACTATTATTTAATATTAAAAAAATTAATAAATACTTGATATATATATATAATAATTTTTGGTTAGGTTGGGTTTAATAATAGTTATATATCAAGTAAGTTAACTATTAAAAAAAATCATTTCATTCAAATTGATTCGAATTAATATCCATGAATTAAATTTCCATAGCAGTCTAAAATTAAGGGATTCAAACTTGTCTTTCATTTAATTAACTCTTGAGTTTGCAGCAACTTTTCTTTTTAATTATATATTTTTTTATTAATATAGTTGTTTAAACTAGTTTGTGTGTACTTTAATTAATTCTACATGTTTTAAAATTAATGATCATGTAAATTTTTAGTAACTCTCTAAAAAATTTAAACTTATAATTATTGAAAAACCTCAAAGTCTGACCAGTTAAGTTATTTTTCACTATTCTAATCATAATTTTAATATGTTTGAATATGCATTATAATTTTTTTTATATGGTGGACTCTATCAATAACTAAGGTCAAAGAAGTTGTGTGTTTGATTTTGAGATAGTTTTCATGGTTATAGTTTTAAAAAAATAAGTTTAAGAAAATATGATTGCTATGGTTAGTTGAATTTAAATATGTGTTTGGTAAAAATTATGGTTGAGATTTATGTGCAGCAAATAATATGTATAAAATGTTTGGTTGTGGTTGCTTTTCAGAAGTGATTTTTACTTAGAAATGCATCAAAATTAATTTTTTTATGTTTTAAAAAATATTTTTGATATCAAGATATCAAAATGATCTGAAAATATAAAAAAATAATAATTTAAAGTAAAAAAATAAAAAAAATTTAAATTAAAAAAAATACTTTTGAAAGACAAAAATAATCAGAGTTTTACGAAACTCAGTTAAAAAGCATATAAAAAAATACTTCACAAAAATTACATTTCAAACTTAATTTTTTAATGAATCCTATAATATAAAATGAAATTTAATGTATTATTAAATATATAATTGTGTTTTTTATACCATAAACACAAATTAAGTTTGATAATTTTTTTAGTTGTTTTGATTGAGATATGATCTCAATTTTAGATCATGAGGGAAGCTTGTTTACAATAAAATAACAGTAAAATAACCATTAAAAATCATTAGATAAAAATCAAAATAACCTTATTATTAATTATAAATTATTAATAATCTAATTTATAATATTTTAATTCAAAAACAATAAAACTATATATCTTTTTAAGTAATACTATCATTAAAATCACTTTTAAAAACAATTTTAACCAAATGCCTTTAATTTTTTTTTTCAACATCAACTTTAATTATAGTTTTAACCTTTAATTATAGTTTTAACCTTAAATATATTTTATCATACTAATCAAAACTAAAAATACCTTTTCTACACGAGCTACCGGAAATGCCAAACACACATTTTCATGAAATGTCCCTGGTTTGGGGAAGTTGCATCAGCTGCAATGTCTCAGCATTTCCATTGACCATCTGGGAACGGGGCAGATGATTTGAACTTTCTCTCCACGTTGGTAAATGTGACCAGTTTGCAGCTAGTGAGTGGCTACAAGTGATAACAACTTTCAAGGGTCATTGCAGAACATGGAATGGGAAGTGAGGTTTTGGCCAGCGGCGATGTCTACAGTCATGGCATACTTTTGCTAGAGTTGTTCACAGGGAAGAGGCCTTCTGATGATATGTTCAAAGAGGGTTTAGACCTCCACAAATTTGCTAACGCTGCTTTGCCTGAGCAAGTGGTTGATGTTGTGGTCAGGAAATGAAAAAAATTCAGAGACAAGAACAGACAGCAGCCACAAGGTCCAGGGGTGTTTAACTTCAATAATGGAGATTGGAGCTGCTTGTTCTGCTGAATTTACACAAGAAAGGATGAACAGGAGTGGTGTCGCAGCAAAGCTGCTTTCAATCAAACGCAAACTTCCTTAATCTTGCATTACGTGGAGCGTTCAAGAATATTTGGGCAGAGAGTGGGGGCGGGGGGGGGGGGGGGGGGGCAAACCCCCCCAAAAAAAAGAGAACAACGCAGCACAGAAAAAAAAATACAGAGAACTAAGGACGAACGAACGACAAAGGTGGAAGCACAGAACAGGAGGACGAAGACGAAAAGGGACAGACAGGAAGCGAACACAAGGAGAACTCAAATATAACGAGCAAACACAGGGGAGAGGGACCAAAGCAAGCCACCATCTTCGACTTCTCTCTCTGCACCAGGTAAGTCAGTCTCTTCTTTGCATCATAATTCACTAATACTGTCGCTGTGAATTATAATTAACTCTTTGCTGTGCTGCACGCGTCATGCGTGCTGCTGTCTAAGCCAGCTGGGTCACAGGTTTGGGTCAGGAACCGGGTTGGTACAGTTGGACTAGATCCGGCCTAAAAAAAATGAATCGAATCTGGGTCTCAGGCCTTACCTATTCAAAGTACTTTTTTACTAAAGATGTGTTCAGATTAATCACATGTCCTAAATCCAAGATAATTTGGATTTGGGATTAATCACCACTCTCATTGCATCATCAAGATAATCACCAATTTTTTTAAATTAGGGGTTAAACATTATATTTAATATTTTTTATTCTAGTTTTAACAATCAGAAATCTTTAGTTTTTCTCCATAATTCACAAAAGAAATTTCTAAGATTATTTATTACCTAAACGCTGCATCGTTGTTTATCAATCCCACGATCCAGCTTCCAGCACCAATCACAAGTCAAACAATCAAACGGTCGGGTTTGAGATAGCAACGTGGTCACCGAATAACTGTCACACGATCTGGCTTCTTAATAACGCTAAGTGCACACCCGCGCACCGGATTGCCACATCCCTGTCACGTCTGTCGATAAAAAAATCCAGCCCACCTCCACTATCACTTTTTGGGTAAACTACATTTCGATCCTCCAACTATAATATATGTTTCGATGAGGACTCCACTCAGCCACAAGTTTCAATTGCACCACAACTTATGCAATATCAATTATCAACCTTTCATCCAATACTAGTTTTTTTTTTCTTACTTCTAAACTGTTCATTGTTTATAATATTTTTCCTGGAAGCATCTCATAAAATAATTCTATCAAAGATAAAAATTACTTGAAATTCTTTTACTTTGTTACGGTCAAGATTATTTTTTTTCTGGAAATTTGATTAGAATTCTAACAATCATTTATCATGTAAATGATAGATATTATGTGCCATTTAGATTTTTTAGACAGCATCTATGCATTTAATTGGTAAAAATTAACACTAATTTTTTTCAAGTTGAAATATAAGAAAGGAGCATTTGTTGAAAAAAAAATGTAGTAAGAAGCTCTACTATTTCATTGAAAGTGTGGTTATGAGAAAAAAAATATAAAAAATAAAAAATAATTTTAATGTAAGATATGTATCCTTTAAGTCTAATATTACATGTAATTAAAGGATATAAATAAAATAAATAAATAAAACCTTATAAATATCTTTTTATAAAATTTCTTAAAAATATTACTTTTAGTATTTAAAAACTTTGTTGTTAAGAGTGTATTTAAATGTGTTATTGCGATTATTTTTTTTAAGTATGTTTTATTAGATAATATATTAAAATAATATATTTTTATTTTTATAAAAATTATTTTTAATACTAACGTGTTAAAATATCTAAAAATATCAAAAAAATATTAAACCTAAAAGTATTGATTAGTGGATCGGATTAATATTTAAAGATTCATTGGAATCCTTGAAACCGAACGAACACGTTTCTCCGCCCAAAAATTCCAATCAAATTCACCATATCGCCATCCAAAAATCAAGGATTGATAATAGCAATTTTTAGATTCTATGGCCCAAAATGAAATAAATTGAGAGATTTAAGGTCCAAGTCGAACTTTACTCAAAGAATCAATAAGAAGAAACCGCCAGCACAGTTACATCGACATCAAAACCCAGCAGTACACATTCCACCCTCCACTCCACTCTCTGTCTCTCTGTCTCTCCCTAACACTAAACAGACTCTCTTCTCAAGTAATCTCTCTCTCTCTCTCTCTCTCTCTCTCACACACACACACACACACAATGCGCTTACTTCATTTTTTCTTGCTTCCGTGTTCGGTTGCTGAGAAAATCAATGCAGCAAGAAAACAAAAACAGTAAAACGTTTGCGTTCTGCTTACTTTATTTCCTACGCTACTTTTTTTTTTTTTTGAAATGCTGCCGAGAGGTTCAACGGTTTGATTTTCTCTCGGTTTCCTTTCCATTTTCTCAGCAACCAAACGAAAAGAAAAACGAGAGTCTGTTTATTTTTGCTCTTCGAATAATTAGGATCATAGAAGCTAAGGTTTAAGTTTGCTCTTTCGCTTTGCTTGTTTGGTTGCTGAGAAAGTGCAGCAAAGAAAGAATAAGGAAAATTGTTGAATGTTTGTGCTCTGCATATCCTTACACG